ACTATATAGACCTGGGCAAGAAGCAAATTCCTTTGGTTTTGAAAGAGCAAGCTTTCGTCCAGCTCTAGCATTTCTTGTTACATACTTAACTAGCATGATCACCATTATCATCCCAAATGCTGCTAAAACGATTGCAATCAATGCTTTCGCTAAAGAATCTGTGATGAGTACTATGCAATTTTTGTTAGAATGGTACATGCATATTTGATTGCCAAAAACCTTATGAAAACAATGCTACATTGTCAAACTCATACTTACACTTGATTTTAATGTAATCTTCACTTGACTTTTCTGTACAAAGAAAGACAAACATAGAAGATAATTACTGTAGTTAACATTGAAAATTAAAACTAGTAACTATCCTCAAACATTGACTTTAAATTAACCATCAGAAGTAACCCACATATTATTCCTTCGTCCTATAAGAACTATATTTTGTCACATTAAAGCAACTGAACTTTACCACTATAACAATATATAAATTCACTATACTTTACTCACTATAGTTGTAAAGTTACTACATGAAATTAAGATTATCCATTTACACAAGTAACAACATATATATTATCTTGGTAATCAAGCAAATGTGGTCTTACCTAAAGAGTTTAATGCTGGTAAACAGGAGAAGAAATCATCCATAGAAGAGGGATCATTTAATTTTGTGGTAGCAACCGAAATAACAACAGCCATAACACAAGTAGCTCTCTCAGTATCATTATCTCTGGCATAAAACTGATCCAAGTAATGATCCCTTGCAGATTTGATGGCACCAGTACATTTCCTGCAAGCATCATCGAACGAGGAACCAAAACCAGTGCACTTGTCCCTGACATCGTTAAAATTGTCATCCTGTAAAACATTTGTCAAAGATAGACTAGAACATTTGCTGCTTTCTTGATAAAGGGAACCAAAGCCACAATTTTCAATCGAAACAGAAGGCTGGTGCTTAAAGGGTCCAGAGCAATGTTCCCATTGATCTTGCTGGAGGAAGAGGTTTCCTTGTTGAGTAATTGCCTGTTTGGCCAATGCTTGTGAGAAGAAGTTGAGGACATTTTGGCAGCATCTTGTGGTGGGGAAACTGTCCCATTCATTGATGTTTTCTTGATTAGCTGCAAGGCATTCCCCACTTGGTTTGTACGGTGATGAGGTGAAGTTGAGCCTACAATCTGCAAAGTAGACAAAAATTTTACACAAGCAGTATCGGCTTATTGTCATAGTTCTGACTTGTAAATATGTGTTTGAGTGTGAAACTTTGATGGTATTAACATTTAAGAAAATTGTTTTGCAAAGTGGTGTCAGATAGCACCGCTCAATAAAGGGTGTCTTGCCACTAAACATGATCTTGATTCATAAGGTGTACATACTTGTGTTTTTATATGTCAGTACTGGGATAAAGGGAAAGCAGAGAAGCTCCAAAGAAAATGGTGATATTTGGAATTTTCAAATTGCAACATGAGGCAACATATTGGGCGTTAATTTCATCGGTGGTTATTCAACTAACTAACTGTATATTTCACAAAAGTCATTAATCTATTTTTTATTACTTAAAAGTCACCAACTTCATCTTTCTCACTTAAGGTCATTCTAGCTCAAACCCTATAAAATATCCTATAAAATTGTTTGACATGGCATTAAATTTGATTAAAAAATCTAATAATAATGCCACATCAACTTAAATTACCATACCATTTTAGTCCTATTTCCCCCTCACTCCGATTGAACCATAACCCAAATAGGTTGAGATAAAAAATCATGTTTCTCCACCTAATAAAATATACTTTGTGGCCACTCGTTAAATAGGTTTTTTAATCTAATAATTAGGGTTTTTAATTTCCTTTTTGGGTCTTAGTCGTACAGATACAATCAATGAAATATTATGTTGTGTCTTTCTTTTGTCCAAATTATTAATGCTATAGGTTGCCTGCGATTGAAGTATATATTGACAACTTCCATTATGCACTTTAATTGTGGGTGTTAGCAGTATTTTTGTTTATTAATGTTGTTTAATAAGCAACATTTTGACAATGATGCGAAGGATGCAAAAGCTAGTTCTATTCGTATTTTATGGAATTTAGGGGGATTGGTGGCATTAAAGTTATTTGTAACAAACAAAGCCAGAATATTTTTAGCATAAAATGATGGTTCTTGTCTTCTTCTTTTGATGGTCTAATATTAATAACTTATTTGGATATAGGTCAAATTGGGTTGAAGGAAAATAGCCAAACTGGATATGGTCATTTAAGCTGATGTGGCATTATTATTAGATTTTTGTAATAAATTTAATGCCAACTAAGAATTTTTGTAGAATATTTTATAGGATTTGAGTTAGAATGACTTTTAAGTGAGGAAGAAATTGAGTGACTTTTAAGTGATAAAAAATAGAATAGTGACTTTTGTTAAATAAACACGGGGTCGTTTGGTTGGAATACGATTTATACTGGTATAAGTTATATTGGGATAAGTTATGATGAGATTAGTTATGCTGGGATTGTTGTTTATTTATTGTTTGGTATGTTGTATTAAGAATGACAATTGCATAATTTCTAAAAAGAAGATATAAGTTATACCGGTGCTAATTACCGCACCTTCTATAAGGTATAAGTTATCCCATTGTTAAAATTAACACCGGGATAGCTTATACCTGGTTTGCTAATCAAACGGAGTATTAAGGTGATATTAAATTTTTATACCACCCTTATACCTTCTTATACCTCGTACCAAACGACCCCTTAGTTGGATGACCACAAGTGCAATTAACCCCAACATATTGTACTTTTACCTTAATATATGCTACAGAATTAGGAAATCGTCTTGTGTTTTCTATACTGACCCAAAATCTTAACTTGATTTTGTTCAAGACAAATAATTATAGATCAATAGATCATATATATAGAAAGTAAAAAGTAACTCTTATCCAACATCCTACATCACAACCTGGAGAGATTGAAACTATATATATGAACTCTATTACATGGTACTAATAAAGCTTCCTAATGACTTTTGTAGTTTATCTTATTTTGTTTCTTTCCTCTTTTATTTGTGTTTCACTATAAGCATGATGCTTTAGCTGTAAGCCTGTAAGACACTAATTAATCCTATAATACAAGGGCACTAACATAGCCATTTTTTATTGCAAGAAAATTTGCTTAGTTGTTATTACAAGTAAAAAAAAAAAAGGAAATAAGAGTGTTTTTGATACGAAGGAAAATGTTTTTCCGAAAGTTAAGTGTTTTTTTTTACTTATTTTTTGTCACTTACTTTTTAGTGTTTGATAAGTAAATAGAAAATATATATAATCCTAAAAACATTTATATATAATCTAGCAAACACTACGAGGGCGGAATGTATTGGTGGGAGGTTGGGGAGGAGGGGTGGGATCAAGGGGTCTGGTCGGGCAGGTGGTTGGTGATGGGNATTTGCTCCCCAACACAAAGGTAGAAGTGAAAGCAGATACCTGGGTCTTCTGGGGAAGCCAGTGAAACAGCAACAAAAAAGGTGAGAGGAAAAATAACACATAGTTGGAAAAACAACAGTGTCTTAACTACAACCATCTGCTTTGATGATGAAGACTACTTTCCATTAACATAATCAAGAAAATAGCTAATAATATATATTTCTTAGTAGAAATTACCAAACCATTTTTTTTTCTGAGACTAGAAACTGTGGGGATCATATATAGGCATATCTTCCTAATTAAAATCCAAGAATTGTTGAAAATATCATATTATTTATCTTGCCTAGTTATTCTCAGCGCATCACAAGTTTGAAGTGGCTGCTTCTGCTTATAAGGCATATTTCAATAGTATATTGCATTTACAAAATGACATTTTCAAAGTGGGAAGACCAATCTTGTTATTTTGGTAATTAAAATTTGCTGGATATCAAGTGTGGATCGGATGTCATTGAAAACGCAAGAAAGAATGTATTGTGCATCATCGGTGTTGTATAATATGCTTGAAATTATTGTACTTTACTTTGATAAGATGAATAATACTCGATATTATCAATTAAATTCTACAAAGGAGTATATCCAAACAGCAAAGACAAAAAGGTTCAAGTGGACAACAGATACTTGTATTCTTTCTTGTTAATATCTACTTGTTTCATGATATATATATATATATATATATATATATATATATATATATATTTCACCATTTTATCCAATTGTTTAAATGTTCAACTTGTCTCGCCTTTGAATTCTCTAATTATGGTTCTCTTCCTATGTTATAATTGTAGAATGCACTATAGATAATCAGACATAAAAGCTTTGCTTTACATAAATATATTAAGACACCAAAAGCTAGCAGGTATTACTGCATGTTGCAACTATGTACGTACTTTTTTGTAGTTTTCTCTTTGAAGGTATAATTGCAGTTTACCAAAGTCTTGGAGACAACAAGTTCTATTTGTTCCAAACAAGACACCCGACATCACCATATCATTGGAAAAGTATTACTATTATTATATTTTTTTTTGCAATATTAATTGTTTCAGCAAAAAAGCATACCCTTCCTTTAAACCATTCAATAAGGAAATTTAGCGACTTGCTGTCATATTTATTCTAATTCTAAGAGCTTGGATCGAACCGGTATTAATATAGAGATTAGGGCCGAATGTATTGTCTTTTTATCATTTAATTTATTGTGTGTTAAACGAATCTTATTTCTTGATTGCGTAATTTGATTGTGGTTCAATTGAATTGGATGTACATTTACGAGATCACTTAATTATTCATCATGTTTTGCTAATTTAACTCCTATTTCACTAATTAACAGAGTTTTGATATCGTTTTGACTTTTGAGGATTGTTAGAGGCTAATCTATATATGTCATTGCCTCGTGCCTCTGTCCTATATATAACGTTGAAAAGCCAAGCAATTTCTTTAAAGAAAAAGAAAAAAAACTAGTAAAGGGCGAAAACAATTCCCTATTGAGATGTAGGATGATATTTTCATTTCATAAATTGTTCTCATAAATGAAATAGAAATGCATCTCATCAAACTAAACACTATCACATATATAAAGCATGTTCCTTTATCCCCTTTTCTTTATTCACAAGGATCATTAAGCAGCAATAAACACGTCTTTTTAGGGGTTACAATGGGTTTATATATAAACCTAAGAGATGGTCAAAATAAAACTTATGCCGCCTTATTCACCCCACCCCTTTTTTCTAGTATGCAACCCATTTTGATACTTTAGAATCTAATTAAACGCATAAGTTTAATAACCCTTTGATATGTATATCGAAAATTAACTTCTATAGAGGAGGATTAATATTAATAGGGTGACCAACATTATTGGTGAGGCTCCAAGCCTTGTTCAGCTCCTCAGAAACTTGTTCTATTGTTGGGCGTTCTTTGCTTGTTTCAGCCACACAAAGTAGTGCAATTTGCAATATGGATTTCAATGCCTCGTCATTTATTAGTTTCCCTTTTAGCCATGGATCTTCAAATTCACTGATTGGAAGCTTTCCTCTACTCACATCCTTTGCCTGCACCAGTGTAAATGCCAATTTCATATAATTAAGTTTTTATGTGATACATATTTTCTTTGTCCCAAAGAGAAGGACGATTTTGTGATTTACAAATAATTAACTTTGAACGTTCCATTTATAGATGTTATACAACTATATAAATGTATATGTCATGTTTTAGACGACAAGTTTTAATTTTTTTTTTTACACACGATGCGCAGTCACACAACTAATGGTTAAGATGAAATTAGAATAGAATAAACCTTAAAACCAATATTTCCATTTTCCACCATCCATGACAATAATTTCCTAAGCACTAAGAAAAGTCTAGTGCATGCATTTTACCTTTGTTAACAATATGTTTTTATCATCTTCACCAAAGTGAGCAATTCTTGGACCAGATAGGACTTGCAGCATGATAATTCCAAAGCCATAAACGTCAGTTGAACAAGTGAGTAACCCACTATTCTTGTATTCAGGGTCTGTGTACACTCCATTTTCCACAAATTCTTCAAATACTTGGCTTTCATGCATCCCTAGCATTTTTGCTTGCCCAAAACCACATAGTTTTGGTTCCAATGTCTCACTCAAAAGTATGCTGCTAAGCTGTCCAACAAAAATTGGAATACTATTAGTAGCTAGATCGGTTTATTTTACATATATGTACTGACAATATAAATAATTTTTATACTATCAATATATTGTAACAGGTTACCTACCTCATCTTCTAGAATACTCATCTCGGTTACTATGAATATTGACCTGTAGTTATCTTTTAGGCAATATAATTCTATTCTACTGCAACGTATATAGAAATTAAACTCGTAATTAAAAACAAAGGCTTTTGTTGACTATTTTTTTTTCTAACTAGGAAATAAGCTTCTTTTTTTTTTTTTTTTTAAAAAAAAAGAAACAATTAATCTTTTCCTTTATTTTGGCCTTTTTCTTAACAGCAAAAGAATAAATTTTTGTAAGAGATATTACCTTAATATGGCGGTGAATGATGCAGCCATCAATATAATGATGGAGATATTTGATTGCGCATGCACAGTTCCTCAGTATTTTAACTCTTGCATGCCAAGTCAAAACAGTATCTTCTCCTATATATATATATTTCATGAACAAGTTGTGAGATTAACTTATGCATGCGTACTGACGGTGTATAAGATACTATTTGTCATATTAAAATAACCTATAACAACAAGTGCAAAATTTTCTATAATCACCCTAACTAGGTAATATAGAAATATAAAGTAAATGACCTGATATAACAAGTTGAAATGCATTGATAATGTAAAAAGCAATTACAGTACTCCAATGTATATAAGTTAAATCCAATAAAAAGGTATGTTACTTTAGCTCAAACTGGATCGTGTCTAATATATGAGCAAAAGGGCAGCCCAGTGCACGAAGCATTTCGCGGTCATGTACGGTCCAGGAAGGGCTACATCTCAAGGTGTGTGATATAGGCAGCCTACGCGCTGATGCAAGCATTAATGCATGATTTCACGGTTCAAAGAGAAAAGTTAGAAATAGGGAAACTCACTGAGAAAATATTGAGCTAGATTTCCAGCAGAATAATTTTCATAAACCAAAAAGTGTTTCCCATCTTCATTACAAAAACCTAAGAGACAAACAATGCTTGGATGCCTAGCTCTTGAGAGACATTCAACTTCAGTAATGAAAGATCCCACTGCATCTTCTGTTTTGTGCATTTCTTTAATAGCCACAACCTGTCCACTTGGTAATATCCCTTGACATAACTCTCCTCTGCTTCCATTCCCTATCAACTTTCTTGATATTCTCATATAATTAGTCTTGTCAATGTTATTTATAGCATTCTCAATCTCAACTATTGTGAATTTGTAGAGACCATTTAGTGTAGGTGACTCCAAGTTTTGGGCAACCACTACATTAATATTCTTGCTTCTCTTCAATATGCATTTTACCAGTATAACAAGTATTGTGACAACTATTACAGTTGCCCATATGATTGCAACAAGTGATTTTTCCATATTAATATTCTGATTTTAATTTCTTCCAGTAAATATAGCTACACTCCTATCAATTATATAGTCCAATTAAACTCAGAATTTCTATCCCGGATTTAAGATGAACAAAAATAAGAATTTTGCTATAGCAAATGATACCAAACTCTCAGTTCCCAAAAATTTAATATTAAAAAGCAGCTGCCTTTGTTTATCTTTTTTTCTAAAATTTCAGTGGATCATTTGCTAAAGATAATCAAGAAATTAACCACACTTCAACTTACATATATGTTTTAAAGAAGATGCTAAAGATCTCGATAATCATAAATCGAAAAACCAAAATAAAAAGAACAAATATAGATCAAAGGAATCATAAAGCAGAAGTGGAAGTGAAAAAAGACCAATGAAGAACGAGAAAACGAAAGTAGAGCAACCTTAAACGAAGGAATATGTTTAGTATTTATAAGGTCTTAAAATTTGGAAAATACAAGGATCGATGTCAATTTTCTTGTTAAATTTACTAGGCTTCCTTTGTCACTCTCTCAATAGAACCTTGATATACCCAGTATCAACTTAGGAAAATGGACCGATTCCGTTCCCAATTGCTGATAAGTCCAATGGACTACCTAGTTTGCATAGCAATAACGACATAGATTTGATGAAAGTCTGACAATTTTGTATTGAAATACTTATCTAATTTAAGATTTTCTATGTTCCTGCAGCAATTCGTCTCACTATATCTACAGCAATTCCCTCGCCCGCTAGCCTTGTTAGCCAAGCTTAGCTTCTAAATTAATTTGTTTTGAAAAGCATTTTCTTAATTTTAAAAAGTAATTTTGGTGAGAAGCCGGTTGTATAATCAATTTGAAAATAACTTTTGAACATCAATCACTATTTGGCCAAAAAGTAATTTTGGGATAAGCTACTTCTTTTCAATAATAATTTCTATTTTTACTTAAAGTCACGTTTTCTTTCCCTAAAAGTTTGGTCAAACACCTTATCTTTGAAAATATATAATTTTTTTTTAAAAAAAAAACACTTTTGATTTGATATGGCAAACAGACTATTAGTTTGATGGTAACATGGGCACAAGCCTATGCATAGGTATTTCCGTTCAATATTTGTTACGCGCAAAAAAGATCAGTTGGTGGCTTGGTGCTGCATAAAATAGATAAATCCTCCATTGACAACTAAAAGATATTATCCTTTAGCAATTTTGAAAAGGATTAAATTCAAATTATCCCCTCATCTGGAGATGATAGCCAAAGTAACACATACACAATATTAATTAAGGTTGAATATATATTGAGACACCTAAAGTTGTTACGATTTTTTATTTAAATACTCCAAATTGGTACAACTCATACTATCAACCATGTCAATGAAATGTATTTGCTTAGTACACTTTGAGTTTGCTACTGCTGTTCATCAAAATAAGACATATCTGAAGTGTCTAAATGAAAAATTATGACAATTTTAAATGTCTCCGTATATATTCAGCCATTAATAAATTTCAGTAATGTCATACTACAGCTAATATACATAAATATTACTTCATACCCTCCCTAAATCTGAACATTAGGGCTGTTCAAAATCGAACCGAAACCATTAACTGAACCGAACCGATAGCTTATTGGCTTATTAATATCGGATTATCGGGGTAATGGATGATGAACAGATTGAGATTTTATGATTACCAGCTTAACAGTTTGGGGCGGATTTTTGGTCGCCCCCATTTAACCTATACCTATTTTTTTAAAAACTTTTAATTTATACCCTCTTTTTAAATAACTTCAGCTCCCTTTCTCATCTTCCTTCACCTTCTCCTCCACAAAGTTATATCCGCCTATTCTTTCTCAAACTTCTCCTTCTCCCTTTTCTGCAACAAATCTGTTACGGCTATGTATAAGTTTGACTATAGTTAAAATCACTAATACATCTCTGTACAAAAGTGCCAGAAATCTAGGCTTCTCATGCTGCTTTTATAGTGTAACTTGTTTTCTTCGTCAGTGTGAACTCTTATCTGGATGAGTAAGAAGCAGGAAACTGTTAAGGATGTACCTTGTGGTAACATTGTTGCCGTGGTTGGTCTGGACCAGTTTATTAACAAAAAGCAACATTGACGAATGAAAAAGAAGTCGATGCCCATCCAATCAGAGCAATAATATTGAAACCCCCAACAGATTTTGGATACCATATGTTTTCCCATGCTAATAGTGCTGTATATTTTCTTGTTCAGTCATTTCTTATCTTCCACACACTCATGGATAACACTGTTGAGTTACAGCTATGCAGTTGTAGTCTTGGAACTTCAGCTCTTCGCCAGTTAGAAAAACAAAAACTTTAGCTCTAGAGTTGAAGTTCCCCAGTTAAAAAAACAAAGACTTCAGCTCTAGAGCTGAAGTTCCCCAGTTACAAACAAAAAATTTCAGCTCTAGAGCTGAAGCTTACAAACAAAAACTTCAGCTCTAGAGCTGAAGCTTACAAACAAAAACTTCAGCTCTAGAGCTGAAGCTTACAAACAAAAACTTATAGTTAAAAAACAAAACTTCAGCTCTAGAGCTGAAGCTGACAAACAAAAACTTCGCCAGTTACAAACAAAAACTTCAGCTCTAGAGCTGAAGTTCGACAGTTACAAAACAAAAACTTCAGCTCTAGAGCTGAACTTCAGGCCCGGCTACTAGAATGCTGAAGTTTTGTGCGATTGCCTTTGCTACTTCAGCCCCGTATGCTGAAGTTATGCGAAAAAGCGGGTACACTTGCAATTTGTTTTGCAAAGCGGGCACAAGTTAAAACGTGACATAAAATGCGGGTATAGATGCAAATGCCCCGCTTATGGTGAATGGTAAGTTGAACAATCTTTACGGAAAAATTATTACTTTTTATATATAATATATTAAATCTTAAATATTCTCAGTAAAATTAATTTCTAGTTCCTCACATCACTTAAGTCTGTCTCCATCTAATATTGTATAAAAATAACGAGTAAAATATAGTTTCCTTAACATTAGAAGTACTTTACATTATACTGTATATAAATTTGTCACAAACTGAAAGATTTTTCGTAAATTTTGGACATACTATTTCAGTACGTAGAGAAGTTTATACTATTACAACTGTCCAATTATGAATATATCCCTATTCTAGTATGTACTCAAGTTGTGTTGTCCTCTTTCCATTTTGTTTCTCTGTGTCTGCTGGGGATAGGACTATTCTGACTTTGCTGAGTTGTTCTTAATTAAACTTATTCAACATTGCTTGGCTAGCTATACAATTAACATAGACAGTTTGAAATATGCATTTGGTCATTTGGTATTGATTGTTCAAATTTTTTTTTATTTGGTTTAGCCGATAAACTGCTCGATAATTGTTAATTCGATACCAATCCGCCCGTTGTCTTATTGAATGGCTAGCGGATTACTATATTTATAATCGATAACCAATAAGCCGAACCATTAAGCGTAATTATCCTCCTGATAAGCACCCCTTCTAAACATTAATGAACGTGAAGATAATTAGTTGTTAGCACACAAAACCGTGAGGAGGATAAGACTTAGGTTATTTTTGTTATACAGTCCGTATTACTATAATGAATAATGAAACTTTCTTAAACAGAAAACAGAAACAGAAAGTTATCAGTAACAAAATGTCGAAATAATATCTGAAAAATAATTTCGAAATAAATCGAGCCCACTGAATGCACAGTATGTCCTTAAGGAAATTATTCCCCTGAAGTACCTAGGTGCTGGAATATTATCCTCCCAAGATAATTTTGGGTATGTTTCAGATACCCCAAAACTCGTCTCATTGCCATCCAATGTATTTGATTGGGATTACTTGTAAAACGAGTCAGTTTGCTAATAGCACATACTATATTTGGTAGCATACACTTTATGATATACGTCAAACTTCCCTATACTCTTGCATAGTCCAGTTGTGAGTCACTTGCACCTTCATTCTTTTGAAATACATAACTCACGTCAATTGGAGTCTTGACAATCTTGAAATCCAAATATTTGAACTTGTCAAGTACTTTTTCAATGTAGTGAGACTGTGATAATGCTAGACCTTGTGGAGTCTTGTAAATTCTGATTCCTAATATCACATCAGCAACTCCTAAGTCTTTCATGTAGAATTTGCTAGCCAACATGCGCGTAGTAGCATTTATATCTGCCATATTTTTGCTAATTATCAACATGTCATCAACATATAAACAAACAATGACTTCACGACCTGGAGTGTTTTTAATGTAAACACATTTGTCACACTAGTTGATTTTAAACTCACTTGCCAACATTGTTTGGTCAAATTTGGCATGCCATTATTTGGGTGCTTGTTTAAGTCCATAAAACGACTTAACTAGTTTGCACACTTTCTTTTCTTTATCCGGAACTACAAAACTCTCAGGTTGTTCCATGAAATCTCTTCCTCTAATTCTCCATTTAAGAAAGTTGTTTTAATATCTATTTGATGGATTTCAAGACCATACACGGCCGCCAGCGCCACTAACACCCTAATAGATGTTATCCTCGTTACTGGCGAGTAAGAGTCAAAGTAATCAAGGCCTTCCTTTTTTCTATAACCTTTAACAACAAGTCTTGCTTTATATTTGTCAATAGTGCCATCACCCTCATCTTGTCAGAATTCTTGCTATCACGAAAGTTGTTGAGTGTTAACACCTTGCCGGAACTCATCTTCAGGAATATCTTCCCATAACCCTCATTCTTGGCTATTGCAGTATTTCCCATGGAAAGCTCTTATTTGGAACCAGCAGTAGAGTAAGTCGCAAATGCTTCTTTGACAACACAGATATGTCGAGTGGCTCCAGAGTCGATCCACCACTCCTTCGGATTTCCGACTAGGTTGTATTCCGAAAGCATATCACACAGATCATCAATGTCATCATTCTTCTCCATTATGTTGCCTTGTCCCTTTTTCTTATCCTTTTTCAAGACACGACAATTAGGGGCTTTGTGACCAACTTTTCCGCAATTGTAGCAGTTGCCCTAGAATTTTTTCTTGTTCTG